TTCAGTATTTTATTTGTTGTTTTTAATGGAAAGTAGTTTTCAGTTTATTTCGTACAAAACGTGAACCATTTCTTTGAGACATTATTATTGAGTACACTATTAAACACTTTAATATCGGCGTAATGTGGACTGTATATGTTAGCCAAACATCTTATTAAATATTAACATGATCATCGCCAATTCATAAATCTAACATAATCATTTATTAATAATTATAAAAGCATCGATGTCATTCATATTGCTTAACTAAATAATTGGATGTTCTATTGTTTTTCTATTTACTATCATTTTAATTCATGTCATTTCGTACTCTTATCTAACAACCGTTACTTTTGTACAAAAATCAAATTCTTTGCTTTAATATAATTAATTCCAGGTTCATCTACTGATGAATTCTACTTGATATAAAATATAATTATGTTTTTAATCAAGTATTTTGATATATTTAGCCAATATTATACTAAATACCATATTTTGCTTTAATAAATAATAATATCTGAGATAATTATGAGATAATATCTGAATAGTGTCTAAAGTTTACATTCATTAAGTATTAAACATTTCAGGCATTAAATAACTTATTGATATAAATTTACTTTTATCACTTAATTTTGCACTAAACTATTAAATAAATAATATTTATATTTAATTCAATTTTGCTTATATTCTTAATTTAGTATAAGACTTTATAAATTCAGTTAAATATTTATAATATTATAATCATTGCATTTGAAATGTGGAACTGACAAAACAATTAACTTTATTGGTCAAATTTAACCGAAAATTTTTTAATGATGATTTGATTTGAAACAGCATTTATTGAGTGACAAAACACTGCCATTCATTTGTCTGTATGTCTTGTGTTTTAGGAGTAATCCACTCCCGAAGAAGGCCACTCTTGAAATAGCTTTGGCAATGTTATCCAATGGCAATCAATAAATTCAAAAAATAAATGTGATGAAATTTTTTAATTGGCTGGATCAATTGCTAAAATTTATACCTAATTTTTATTTTCTTTATCTAATCTTTGTAATAAATCACTTTACAGCATTTTATTATCTCATATTTAAAAAGTGCCATGATCATTGTGCCAAAGCTATTTCGGGAGTGGATTACTCCTAAACCACAGGACATACAGACAAATGAAAGACATTGTTTTGTCACTCAATAAATAGCCTTTCAAATAAAATCATCATTAAAAATTTTTCGGTTAAATTTTTAAAAAATTTTCGGTTAAATTTGACCAATAAATTAATTTTTTGTCAGTTCCACATTTCAAATGCACGCGTTATTATTAAATATTAATAAAATGGGGATTGATTTATATTACTATAAATATAGTGCCCCTTCGCGGGCTGTTTTGATGACTGCCCGACATTTAAATATTAAAATTAATGTAAAAATATTGGATTTAAGTGAAGGACAACAACTCTCACCTGATTTCATAAAGGTTTGTCATTTGATTGATTTGAAATAATTGTTACTCAATATTCTTCAGGTAAATCCTGTCCATACGGTTCCTACTATCGATGACAATGGATTCATACTATGGGAGAGTCGGGCTATTATGCAGTACTTGTGCAACCAATACGCGCCCGACAGCACTCTCTATCCCAAAGACCCCCAAAAGAGAGCACTCGTCGACCGTTACCTTAATTTTGATGTCATTCTCTCCTCATCTCAAAGAGAAGTTTTGGTAAGAAATTAGTTTTGTGTTATTTTTATGATAACTATTCAGTATTTATTTATAGTATTATATATTTAGTTCCCTAAACTTTTCTTCGGTGTGGATGTGTCTGAATACAAAGTGAGAGTCTCTGATAATTATCTAAAAATTTTGGACCAATTGATCGGAGATAACAAGTATTTAGTCGGAGATGAGTTGACAATCGCTGACCTCTCGCTGTTATCCGGGTATCGATTTTTGGAGTTAACTGATTATGATTTGAATGATTACCACAATTACAAGCGATGGTATTCAACATTGAAAACAGAACTCATCTATTTTGATGACATTCATGACATTTCAAAGAAGGACTGGGATTTAGTGATTGAAAAACTGAAAAACTCCAAATAATAACAACAATTTAAATGATTGTTAGATTTAATATAAATTTTTGAGATTTGAGAAAAACTCGTTTATCTAAAAAATTAATCAATAATAAAATAATTTAATTACCTTAAGTTTTAGTCACAATATTGGGAGTACTTTATAATTTTGAAATTTATAATTTTGTTTTATTACTAATAAAAGTAATTATAAATTAAAATTTATTTAAAGAAGTTGTTTTTCGTTTGTCGTGGTATTAGTATAAACGGTTTTTGTCTACCATTTCAGACGTATTGGATGTCTAAATATAATGGACTGAAATCTTGTTCACATTTAATGGAAGACTAATTAAATAAGAAATTGTGAGACAATTAATAGACTTATCGGCGCATTAATGATCACATCTATAATCTCTTTGAATGCATTTCATTGATCTTTATGTCCAATTCATGATAAGTGGTCTCTCTATTCATCGCATATAAAGTACTTTATTTAACAAATGGTTTGTTTGAATTAAAAGACCGTTTGTTATTCTCATTAATTACTTCAATAAAACTCGCCATCAATTTGTTAATCAACTAAACCATTTTATTATCATGATAACTTTATAAAGTGGTAATATTAAAGATATTGTACTAATATAATTTAATAACATTTTTAACACAGTTACATTGGGAAAACTTATTTTAGTGATATACAAATTATTTTACCTTATAAACTCATTATTTCTTAATAAATATTTTTGCATTTAATAATATATTGGTAAATAACTTAAAATTTAGTCACAGAAAAGATTATTAAAAATACAATTAAATAATTTAAACTGATGAAATAGGTTGTGCTTAAATATTCAAACACAATGAATGGATTGGTACATTGAAGTGAATGGATTGTATCTACTGTAGCTATTTATCAAACCTGTTCGCATAAATAACCTTCTAGTTTTATAATAAAAAGTAAGTTTTAAATTTCTTATCATTCATTTGTCATTAGACTCTCGTTGGGAAACATCTATTGTTGTATTAAATCAAACATTACATACAATTTAAACTAACTGTGAATACAAAATGGGAATCGACTTATATATCAACAAATTCAGTACCCCTTCCCGTGCCGTCCATTTAACGGTCCGAGAGCTCAATATTGACGTTAATATTCATTATTTGGATCTCACAGAAGGGGAACAAATGACTCCAGAGTTTCAGAAGGTTTGTCTGTCATTAACTATTGATTTTTAAATACCAAAACAAAAACCTACTGTACATTTGTTATACTGAATATTATTATTATTAAATCCAGTTAAACCCCAATCGCAAAGTGCCCACAATAGATGACAATGGATTTGCTTTATGGGAGAGTCGGGCTATAATGCAATACCTGTGCAATCAATACGCGCCCGACTCTACTCTTTATTCAAAGGATCCTAAAAAGCGAGCACTTGTCGACCGATTCCTAAACTTTGACCTCTTATTCTTCGCAAACCATAGAGATGTTGTGGTAATATATAAGTGATTAATGTTTTGATAGCCTTTTGGTAATTGTAATATTTATAAAACAGATGGCAAAGACCTTGCGTGGAGTGAATCCGCCCGAAGACAAACAACTGGCTCTGAAAAATGAGTTGAAATTATTGAACAGTTTGATCGGTGGCCACAAATATCTGACGGGAGAAGTGCTAACAATCGCCGATCTGTCCCTTTCGTCAATTGTTGCAAACTTTTATTGGTTTGACTATGAATTGAGTGAATACACAAACATTGAGAGATGGTATTCAACANATCGCCGATCTGTCCCTTTCGTCAATTGTTGCAAACTTTTATTGGTTTGACTATGAATTGAGTGAATACACAAACATTGAGAGATGGTATTCAACACTACAGAAAGAATTGCCATATTTTTCGCAAATCAATGACATTCCCAAAGAGGAAACCCAACTGTTTTTGAATAAAGTGATGAAATGGATGGCTAAGAAGTCTGACAAATAAAATGGCTATAAAATTGAGAATTATTTCTATAACTGCCATCAAAACCTATAATACTTTACATGTTATAACAATGATATAGAGAAACTTTATCTCCTCACTTCTAAATTTATATTGTAACCTTGTATTACAAAGAAATATGTTGTTACTAATAAATGAAATTTTATAAAAAACAATGTATTTTGTATAATAAATTAGAATATTATATTATATAACTTCAAATTTACCATATTCAATAGAAACTACATTATAAAATGAATACATAAAATAATATAATCAATTTAAGGCAATTATTATTTAATTGAATACAGTATTGAAAGTGATGCACATTTTATTGACACATTCCCTCCTCAATACTCTCTTCAACACCAGTTTATACGACAATCTCCTCGTTATTATTCAATGTATTCAATGTATACTTCAAAGTAAATCAGTTTGAATTGCAATACTATTCACAGGCTTTTGACATTTACTTAACGTTTGATGTTTTCTATTAATACAAAAGATAACACATTTGAGATAAATTACAAAAACAGTTATTAATACTATAGATATTTGTTGTCAATTCAATGATTAGGCAAAGTTAGTAAACAACTCGAAAATATTGATTGTTTATGGGTTTGAAAATAAAATGAGTTGAAGTGTGGATAGGATTGCAAATAATTGTGTCATATATTATATATAAAAGCAGTTATAGAAGAAGAAGGTGTCAATCAATATGTGTTTTCAAAACATATTCAATAGTAGGACAGGAATTGAATGTCAAAAAATGAGATGCAATACAATATTCACTTTACTTTTTATTTTTGGGCTGTATTTTGCATACAAAGTATTTGAAAATTGCAATACATTTCA